TTTATATATTTAAATATTATTTATTTATAAAAAAATCATAAATTTAAAGTTGAAAATTTTGTATATATTTAATATTTAATTATTAAAAATAAAATTTTATTTAAAAATAATAGATTTATAATAAATTTTATAACATATTTTAATTAAAAATTAACAAAAAAATTGCAAGTTTTTATGTAGAATTTTGCATAATAATTGATTGAAAATCATGATTAAATTTAAATAAAAATCATTATCATTTAAGACAGTGATGGGTTTTAAACACATTTTTTAGTTTTAGACAAGATTTTGAACATATAAAATTACGTTTAAAACCTGTCTAAAATTACCTAAAATTGTCTAATTTCCCAACACTGATTTAAGGGATAAAAATTTGGATATTATTTCAATAATTAAAAGACATAATTATTTAAATAATATTTTATTAGGCTTCAAAACAACATCTAATTAATATTTTAAAAAATAATTTATTAATTTTCAATGATTATTTTGTTAAAATTTTTTATAATTCTTTAAGATATTAAACAGCAAAATCTAATTTAGATTTATAAATTATTTAAAAAGTAAAAATTATTGATGTTGAAAGAAATAATAACTTTTTTTTTGAAGATTTATTAAAATCCAGTTAAATATCAAATTAATAAATTAAATCTTTAGAAAAAAAAGTTTTATTATTTCTATTATCAATTTTTGGGAAATACTAAGCAAATTAATAATGATAAATATCCAAAATTTTATCTTCCAAGTTTTGATATAAAGTAGATGTAAAATACTGATCAAAATATGATCTATTCTACACCTATCCTACATATATAAGGTATCCAATATATTAGATATATGTAGAAAATCATATACTTATAGTATACATATTGGTATTTTTGCATATTAGGTATGTAAAATATGTATAAAATATTTAAAAGTACCTGATATGTATACTATAAGTGTATGCTTTTATGCATTTATCTAATATATTGAGTATTTTATATGTGTGGGATAGGTGTAAGATAGATCATATTTTGATCAGTGAAAGAAAGTGTTTCCTTTATTCAAAAAAAACCTGCTGATAATAAATTTTGTAATGCAGATAATTGTTTACTATCAAAGAATATAAATTTATTTAATAGAATGGTTTTAATTTGTGAACACAATTTTAATCAAGAATGCTTAAGTACTTTATTTGATGAAAAATGTATTTATTGTTTTAATTATCTTTCATTTGAAATAGAAAGAAATATTAAAAGTTTAAATAAGAGATTATTTGCACCTTTAAAAGAAAATGAAATTCCTTTATTTGAAGATGAAAATAATGATAAAGATGATGAAACTATAGAAGATATATTAGAAAGAACAGAATATAATATAGAAAATCAATATAATATAATGTATCAACAATGGCTTAATTATGATAGCATATAATTTTTACAAATAAAATTTTAATTAATTAATAATTGTAAAATTAAATTGTAAAAGTTGTTACTAGTAAAATTTACTTAATATTGGTTCAATTTTAAAGAATTTAATATTAGAATACCAGGCAGAACGAGATGTAATAATAGAAATGAGATTTAATATTAACAATTGTCGTATAACATAATGTTAACTTACATTGCAAAAGTTGCGATGTCAAGCCTTCACTTGCAATAAATACAACAATTATCGAGCCAAGATCTGCATGATCCTTCGTAAAATCTTAAGAAATTTGGGTCTCCGTTAGCAATGCGGTCTACTTTGATCAAGAACAAAAACTATTGGGCGATAATGTTTTTTTTATATAGTAATCCGCCGTGCTAACAAAATTGCATAAGAGATTCCAATTAGAGTATTTTTGAATGGTCGTCTTGTACTACATGTCAGGTGGAGCCTTTGTAAGCTTAAATGTGAAATGAATTGATATAGAACATAAAAAAGAACAAATGGTATCTTTTCTTATTGCATTTGCATGATAATATCTCGAAGTTTAAAGGGATATAACTCACAATCCAGTCGGGTTGCCAATATTTTTGTAAAATCATTCACACCTGCTGGACGCTCAAAATGGACAACACCCTATAAAGAAGAAATAGAATGTGAATAAATCGAAAAGGAAAGAAAATATTGAATAATTTACCTTTGGCTCTTTAAGTTTCAAAATGGTATTTCGAATCAAAAGTTGTCTTTCCTGTATCACAATTAGAAGTAATTTATTCCTGAAGAGGGTTGCAAAATTTGTTTCAGAGGATTTTCAAGATTCTCGCGGCTGACCAATTTTTTTGAGAGAGATATATTAGCCTTCATATTGATCCTTCCCTTCTCGAAAACATTTGCCACTTTTCTGACCCGGCTACTAGGGGTGTAGAAAAAATAAGAAGCCACAATACCAACGCAAGTAATAAATAAAATTTTATTTCTGGCTGACTAGAAGAAAAAATCCGGTTAAAAAGTTTGGTAAAACATTTCAACGCACTTTCCCGGATTATTTTTCAGTATTTCTTCCTGTCTGTGGAGAGCGAGTTTTAATGTTGAGGTTGTGTGAGATAGATATTTTAATAAGTTCATGTTTGAATATTTTTTTTCACCAATTTAAATTTACCGTAAAGCGTTCTGTATAGTACCCCCTATATATTTTCAGACGCGTAGAATGTATAGTATACAAATCACTAATATCGTGAACTATATCGATATAATACATTTTTAACTTTGTTAACCAAGTTGATTTAACATTTTTAAATTTAATAAATATTTGTTTAAAAGATAAAATTGACATAAAAAAAATTTTCAATATACCCACCCTAGAATGTCACCCTACATACTAAATATGTTTAAAATGTATTCTTTTTTCGAAATGATCGTGTTTTAACAGGAAAGACGACACGTTTTTACAAATGATTCCCCACAAAGAATCATCATTCAGGGGGTTTCTTGTATGAACCATGTAAATTATATATATAAGGCACGTTTTCTTTCTCTCTTTTTTTTTTTTTTTTTTATAGAGTTTCTCCTTTATATTGACTGCCTTGCTTTTTTATTCATCAAAGAAATAACTTTCAAAGCTTTACTTACATCAATAACGTAAATAAGGTATAACAAAAAAATAAAATAAAATAAAAAAAAATACACGATAATTTACACGTAAAAAATATGAGAAATAACCCTGAGACATTTCAACAAGGATTTGGTAATTATTTTAAAATGGAAACGGCGCCATCATCTGATTATTCGGTATCAACAAGTTTGACAACCACCACTGCAATTTCAACCAAGAAAAGGTCAAAAGTGGATTCTCAACAATTAATCGAAGAGACAAAATTAATAGCCGACTTTGCTCTCCAATCTTACGAGACTGATATCAAAAATTATAACGATAATAATGGTCGACCGCCTACACCTAATGAGTGGCTCGGATTATGGACAGTTAATTCGGATCCAAAACCATTTGATTATTCCTTTAAAACGAATCATCTCGGTCGCAAAAGCATATCCGACCCAATTGCGCGTGAAAATGAGGAATGTCGACAATGGTGGTTAACAAATCTCAAAGCAGGATTGCAACAAATAGAAAGGTTACCCAAGAAACCACACCTACCAAAATTTCTTTGGGAAAAAGTAGCGTTGTCTGAATATGTGAATCTTGAAGATTTTACAAAAGATGGGATTGCAAGTCTATTTGAATATCAGGATTTCGAAATACATCAATGGAGACAAACTAGTCTAATTCATAACTGGATGGAATGGAGTAATGCATTTAGAATTTATCAAAAAGCAGTTACGATTCTTTATCCTCATCGACATGAAGAATTATGTGAATACGATTCACATATCATACAACTGACCACCCAATACCCTTTCGAATCGGTTTATAATTATGATATGGCAAGAAGGCTTCGCATTGTTGAAGATAGAACTTTAACACTCAAGGCACACCAGAGTGATTTGAGATTGCATCACTTGATTTCGCAAGTGATGTTCAAAACTGAACATGAACAAGATGAATCAGATCAAATGGAAGAGCAAGAAATATGTATCAATTGGAATAAAGGCAGATGCTCTGGCCCTTATTGTAAGCGAGCACACGAATGTCTCAATAGTGAATGTGGCGGCGATCATCCAAAATTATATTGTCCGATCAGACCGTACACGTTTAAAAGTAGAAGAAATTATAGATATTAAAATGTAAAATTTATATTAGGTATGAAATTTAAATTGTACATAATCATTTTTAAATTTGGAAAATAAAACCATTTATTTGTATTTTCTTTGATGCATCATTACATCAATTGATTTCATTACTTGTTTTCAATTTAATTTATCAAATTTTTTTTTTTAAAAAAAAAAAGTCGATAGATAAACACGAACTAAATGAATTTTTTTTGTTTGACAAATACTAATGAATAAACTTCCCCTTTGTTATAAAAAAAAAAAAATATAATATAATAAATAATAATTGATACTGCGCCTCAATGTAACACGCACATCTTTGTTTTCCTTAATTGATCGTAGATATTAATCTTATTCATCGTGTATACCACTCATATCGAAAACTCGAAGGATGTATGCATCTCTTGCTACAACTCTACATAAAATCGAACAATTTAAAACCTTTCTAACCTAAATTAGGAAGAAAGGTTTGATTGTGATTTTTCGTATTACCAGTTTTTCATTCAGTAATAAATGTTATAATTATCTCGCGGATAAAAAAGCAAAATTCATGAATATATATAAACTCAACATTTTGAAGCATTTACACTTCAAAATTTTTTTATCTTTTCTTTCTATAATCACAAATAACAAATAAAAAAAAAATTATATATATATACTTTTGTTTCATAAAAATGAAATTTTTCGTGTATATCGCATTAATAATTACCTTATTCATCAATTTGAATCTGGCTTTTCCAACTTCGCAAATCCATGACAACAATAAACGTGCTTTTCGTTGTTGTAAGTGTTTTTTTTTTTTTTATATTTTATATATTTCAACTGGTCAAAAATTTTTCTAAATTCTAACTTCATAGATCAAGTACCTTGTCCATTACGGAGACCAAATCCTATTATAAGACATGGTGAAACAATCTCACAATAAAAATATATCCTCCTTTTCAAAAATTTAAAAGTTTTGATTTGCTTATTTCTTATTTCTTATTTAATTTATATTATGAAAATGCTTTTAGTTTAAATGTTTTTATTTACTCGTTCTCTAGGTCTCTCTATTTTTTTTCATTTGGGAATTATTTTTTTAATTTGATGTAATTCTGCTTACATTAAATAATTAGTTCTCAGGATATTAATGAGCTCTCTAAAAGACGCTTTCGGCATTTTAGTTACTGTTGCGAAGCCAAGCGCGTAATTTATTGAAGTAAATCGAAACATCACTCACATTCATTTAATAAAAAGTTTAATCTCTACAAATAGCAATTGGCATTATTTCTGATATATGTATTCTTGTTGACTTGGTATCATTATAATAAAATTCTTTTTCGTTTAGTTTTTGATATGCTTTCAACTTTATTTATTTTTATATAAGATCATAAATTATCATTAATATTTAAAAATTTATTCGCGTAAAAAAGTATTTTTTTTTTTTTTTTTTCAATAAATAAGCGTTTATATGTAATTATTATTTCTTTTTGGATTTTTATAATTATGTATAATATAAATATATATAAAATAAATAACGTTAGGAATCAATCTATATACGAAAATAATTATGGTTATAGAAATAAAAAAAAATTTTTTTTTTTGGAGGTAAAGGTTTTTTCGTCATAAGGTATAATTCGTTAGAAGATGAATTCGATTAAATTGTAACATAAAAAAGTTAACACTATTCGACGTAATATATATAAAAAGATTATGTATGAATAAACAAGAATAGGTTTTAACCTTTTTTGAATTTTTTCAATATTGGGGGAAAAATAAGCGAAATGGTTTGTTTTTTTTTTGTTAAGCAAATTATGCATGTGAAAGAAAAAAAAATAGAAATTCTTAGATATATATATATATTTTAAAACTATGGGGGGTTTTTATTTTTTGAAGGAAATGTAAATATAAAAAAAATCATAAAGAATAAATCATAGAAAATTTATGTGATGTGGGAGAAGGAATAAGGAAAAAAAGGAGAGAAGATATGGTTCATATTGAAATTACCCATTATGCATAAAAATTGCCACGTAATGTATATAAATAATATCCTTTAGTATTTAAGGAAAAAAGAAGGACTAATAAAGTTGGAATGGTTCAAACAAAATAAAATCAAAAAAAATTGATTCTTTCTTTCAAGCGGATTCATCACCATTCTCATCGTTATTATTATCTCCCAAAATCCATTTCAAATTTAATGGATGATGTTGAGTGAAATTAGAAGTTATAGGTATTGTATCAGATACTGTTGGTGACAGTGGTGAAGGAGGAGAAAAATAACATTGTTCTTCATCTTGTTGTAATTGCCATTGAGTATCATCGGATCGAACCGGTGAGGAAATCGTTGGGCAACTTTTGCGTGAAGGTTGAGAATCATTACAAGTGGTGAAATTTGAAAAAATTGCTTGAGAGGGAGTCGTCGGAGTTGTACATTGGGTCACCGCTCCATTTGAGATAATCCACAACCGTTTTCCTGCTTTGTGATCTAAATAATATCTACCAAATGAATCACTACCTGACGATAATTGTGATGGATCTTTTGTCAAATCTTCAATTGAAACAGGTTCACAAAAACAAAGGTCCCCTTCTTTGGTATCACAAAATAAAGGATCCCTGATTATGTCTTCAACTGATTCATCGGATTTTACTGAATTAGTTTGCGAATCTGACTGATATTGTTGTTCGTTAAATGTGAAAGACGTTATGTTTCGATTTCCTGGTATATCGGATAAGAGGGTAAATAGAGTAGGAATGATGATAAGTGATCTATGATCAATTTAAAAATCTAATTTTATAGGTTTTGAAGCATGACGTACCTCCTCCATACGTGACATCGCTCATTTCAACGTTAACAGACATTTCGTCATCACTTGACCGATAAGAATTACTATCACACATGTGTTGAGTTTCTTCAATAGCCTGCCTATATATGGACGCATCACATTTATCACTTGTTTGGGTTTTATCGAGTCTTCTCTGAAGCAAACTCAATCTTTCTCGTAATGATTTTATATGACTCTGCGCTTCGGTATATAAGATTTCATAAGTATTAGCTTTAGTTTCCAAAGTGCGAACATAATCTTCCTTTCTTCGACGAAATGCTCTTTGATTTGTTAAATTTTGAATATGTTTTTTCTAAAAAAAAATATAATAAAATAAAAAAGTAAAATCGTATGATTTTAATTGTATGATGATAATACCCCAAAAATTTGTTACAAAAAAAAGTAAATTTGGAAAGAACTACTTACGGTCTCGGGCATTTTTGACAAGGGTTTACGACCACGTTTATTAGGCATTGGCTTACCGATAGATGTCAACATTGGTTCTGTGAAACGTGACAAAAAGATTAAGATAAGGTCAAAGTAAATTCTGGGGGGATGAAAACAAAAGGGTATAAAACTTACGGCAAATGACGGGATTCAAGTTTGTTGAAAATTGAGAATTTGTTGACCGATTTAACGATTCTGAAAATTTCGTTTTCGATGCTTGCAAAGAGGTATTCGAAAGTCTAGGGATTGGTAATTTTAATTGTTGACCAGGTACGTTCATTTTCATCGCGTGGTTTATGGTTAAATTTTCATAAAGAAAGAGTAGGAAAGGTAGAAAGAAATTCGATTCAGAATTCGTTTGGGAAAGGTTTTTCAGGGTTTGTCCATTCATTCCTTATAACCATTTTTATATTTGTGATAGTGACATCCATTATTTTTTACTTTCTATAAACAGCTACCAAGACAACGATTAAATGCGATCATTTTTACAAACAAAACAAATAATTTGGGCATGTGGTTTCTAAACGGATTTTTATTCGCTTTATTAATCCGATGTGAAAATTAACTGCAGTATTTTGTAGATCGTCAATCAAACTTCAATGATGATAAAATAAATAAAAAAAAATTTTTTTTTTTTCAATGCGAATGTTGTGACGAATAGAGTAAGTTTTTTTTTTTTTTTCAAAATGCCTTTTGAATATAAATACGTTGGTAATGTTATGATCCTTCAATTCGGTTCGTTGAAAAATACATGCCATACGGTATGGGGAAGGAGATCTTCAAATCGGAAAAATTTTGATTATCTAGACGTGTAAAAATGATTCGTTCTTAGAACTTTAGAAATGCAGCTTGACGATATTCATGGAGCATATCTGTTTTATTGTTTATATAATATCTTCATATTGTACGTGTGCGTTTCATTCATAGTTTCATGGTGATAATTTCATGAAAGATCTTTCTATAAAATGAGATGCATTATGGAAAATAATGTGATGATTGACTTTTTTTAATCATATCTCACCGAAATTAGTGTTCAAAAAAATCGCTCATTCTCACGCAAATCAGAATACAACAAGGAAAAAAATTTGGATTTCTTTTTTTGGTGTTTGTGTCCGTTTGACGTAAAAAAAAAAGATTTTTTGGCGAATAATGAGTGAAACTCCCTTTGTCCCATCCGCTTGTTAGATGGAACGTGTTAAAATTTTTTTTTTTTATCTCGTTAATCTATAAATGATGTGGGGGTAATAAAAAAAGATAAGGTTACTTGATTATCATTTACATATTTTAAGCTTTTTATTGTGTCATCCATTATAGTTTTTCAAATTTTAATCCAAATTTGTTTAACGAATTTTTTTTCCTGTTATACAAGTAAACAAATAAACAAATAACAACAATATCTCACATCTTTTAAGGAAAATAAATTTATAATTAAGATATATTAATGGAAATTCCTGTTAAGACCCTTTTTCGTACCTTTTACGCCATCGTAAAAATGAAATCTCACATAATTTATTATTTGTGCAACAGACTGTCAATTTCCAGAAACAATCAAGAAACGTGGTCAATTTGATTGGCGAGTCATTCTCACCGCAGCAAAATCACCTAATCTTCCAAAGTTACAAAAGAGATTTAATTAAGATGCACTCAAAATTAAGTGTAACTAATAAAAAAATAAATAAATCAAGTGCATACATACGGAGGATATTCCACAAACAGATCATTTAAATTTTACGCGTTGCGTTAAATAAATAATGACAACAAATTCGAATTGACAATCAACCAGTTTTCGTGTTTTTGTTTGCTTTAACCTCATTTTGAATGAAACAATAGATGCATGCTAGTTATTTTTATCATTGTACGTTGCTTCATATTTATTCAAGGTAAGTACAAATGTTTCATCATGAAATTTCTCAATCATCACCTTACGAATGGTGACTATGGCATTTACCGATGAATCAAGACCACAAAGTACAATATGATAATATTCATCTATTATCTAGATCTAACGCTTCTAACTTTAAATACGCCTATTCAAAATCTCACGCAAAACGCATCCCCGCATTCTTTTTTCTCCATATAAAGCATTTTGTCAAACAAGCATTATTGACGCAATTTCTTTTGATCGTAACATTAATCTTATCATTTATCATTTACGATATATTTTAAAAATACGATTTTGGATTTCGTCAAATTTCCCACATCCTTATTAAAATTATTTGATTCCTATAAACAAAACTTTAACCTAATCTGAGAATATGACATTGTTAAAATATTTTTTTTTTTACGTAATGATTCATGTGAATTCGTCATGTTCATCGTTAGGTAACGGAGATTTATGTAAGGGGTTCTTTGTGATTCCGTAAAACTGTTTGCTTTCGGTTGATAAAAGTGGAATCTAATTTGGGTAATTTGGGCCGGAATTTTGATTTGTACTCTTACCAGAGTTAGAGTTACAGATAATCACGATGTAAATCAGGTGATTCTCCACTTATTGTTGATTTTGGATCGAATGTTCTCTTCAAATACATTTTATCGAATACCTTTTTTTTTTCTTTTTTAAATTACAACATGGAAGAAACTGATCAAATTACGAAGAGAACCGTGTATCATGAACGTCAAAGTTTGTGGTTTTGTGGTCAGGTAAGCTTTACATATGACATGGTACGGGATTACTTGTAAAAAATTAACGATATCAATTGACTATTTATGTATATATCATAGCACACGTTAAATAATTTAGTAAGTTATATATGAAATATGTCATTGTAGCACTTTTCCAATTCTTTGCTAATATCTAATGTTTGTGGTTTCATTTATGTCGTAGTTCCAGGATAAAGTCTTCACAAAGGAACAACTTGATAATATCGCTCTAAAATTGGCCGAATCGACAAGTTTAGAGGGCTCAACACGAAGAACTCGTTATATTAATCCACACAAGAGCGTTTTGTGAGTGATTTTGTAAATTTCAAATTCATAAAAAAAAAAATTAAATATTTTAAAAAATTTTTTTTTTTTAAAAGAAAAAAATAAATACTTCATAGCAAAGTGGGTAATTATGATATTAATGTTTTGGAAGTGGCTCTAAAGGAGAAAGGTTTGGAAGTACAATGGTTCGATATTAGAAAAGGTATCATCAGAATAAAAAGTATTTTCCTTCAAACATACTCGTAATCGTCCCCAAATATATATATATATCAAAATTGACCTTTCATTTTTACGATCATAAATGCAAATAACGATATTGGCAAGTTTTAAGTATTAATGATCTTTTTTTCACCCTTGTTTTGTTCTTTTTATTAGACATTCGAACCGTTATCCAATTCACCGACAAAACCCTTTTTGGACTCATTTTGAATGTTCCAACAATACGTTATTATCTCTGGAGATCTTATCATTGGATTGCAATCAAACCCTTCTTTAAACAAGATGATGAGAAGTCTGTTGAAGTTTACAACCTGGATTCAAAGCTGACCATCCCTGAAAAATTCGAGGACTTTGAAAAGGTAATGAATCATTTAATCGCTTAATGTTTATCAAGAATATATATCCAATTTTATTTTAATACCTTATTATTATTTAGGTTTATAAATTTCTTGAGTATATAGTGTATCATAAGAATGGAAATGTTTTTCTTGTGAAGACGAGTTTAAAAGATGGAGAGGATTTTTAATAATGATAACTAAGGAACAGTCTAGTTACTCGATAATGAATTATTGTTAATACGATTAAAGTTTGATTAATATTGTAATATGTTAATGAGTATAGTTTGACATGGTTTACACTGGTTCCTTTTTTATATATAATAAATCGTGATTATTAAACAAATTGGCCAGAATTATAAAATGTATCGAACTTTAATTTTGGCCAGAATTATAAATAGCATTAATTTTGGATTGGATAGTTCACGTGACTTTTGATCAAATAAATTTTTTTTTTAATCTTCAAAAATGAAAAATTTTGTTAACAGGATTAAGAAGAACCTAATGCTTTTAAATGATGATGATTTAGTACCAACTGGCCTTGATCTTGGCTATTAACAGATCAATAATAGCTTATTAACAATTTAAAAAGAAAAAGATCCAACATATATAAAATCAATTAGATTGAAGACCGATTAAAAATTATGATAATTTTTTTAATCATAACTTTTATGAATTTTAACTAGTCCCTCGACGACAGATTCTATACTAATAATTAATAAACTTTTTACCCAACTTACATCTCCTGTTTAATCTAAAAGTCTATTAGCCCGAAATTAAAGGCCACTGTCTGTTGATTTTTCAAATAATCGAAAAAAAAAAAAATTTCCAGATTTCAAAATTTATTTTAATCCAAAACTTCGGTAACCCCAAAAAAATTTTATTTTATAAAAAAAAAATTCGTTAACGTTAAAATATTTGTGACCAATTTAATACAAGTATTTAATAAAAAATATTTGAGCCCAAATTTTCTGTATAATGTTAGGAATTACAAAGAATTTAAAGCATTTCCTTTTTTGTTTATGCGGGATGATCCGAACGTGCATCACCTTTATTTTTAAAATTAATAATCTTCACTTTTCTCTTCCCTCTCTCTCCTTACTTACTTCTTTACGACATTCTATTTATGATAAATTTTATAAGGCAAACTTGTAAATTTTTTTATTTTGAAATATAAATAGGTAAGTATTAACTTTTTGGTTTTAAATGAGTTCTATTCAATTTATTTTATTTTTATTATTACTTTCAGATACAATTATTTAACAATGATTAAATCAGTTCTCATTTTCAATAATCATGGCAAACCTCGATGTACCAAATTCTATCAACAAATAGTAAGAAAAATCTTTTTTTTTGTTTTACCTTGAAGCAAAAAATTTTCTAGAGAATAATTTTTTTGAAATAAAGATTTTAAAAATAATATTGCTTACATTACCTTTTTTAATGTTAATTAGGATACTGGTACACAACAAGCATTAATTCAAGAAATATTTTCATTGGTATCAAAGAGACCTGATACAGTATGCAATTTTCTTGAAGGAAGTCAGATGCTTGGAGGGAAAGATACAAGAATTATTTATAGACATTATGCTACTTTATATTTTGTTTTCGTTGTTGATGAATGTGAAAGCGAATTGGGGATTTTAGATTTAATTCAGGTTGGTGAGGGGAGGAGGAAATTGGAAGTGAAGAGATATGCATGGTTATAGGAATGTAAAAAAAAAAAAATCTTTTGATCTCTTTTTTTGTAGGTGTTTGTGGAATGTTTGGATAGGTGTTTTGAGAATGTTTGTGAACTTGATTTGGTAAGCGAGCGAGATCATTCTAATTTTATAAAAGATTTTTATGCCATTTAGAATATTTCAATCTAAATATTTGAATTTAATCATTTCAACAGATATTTCATTTTGAAGATGTTCATAATATTCTTGATGAAGTTATTTCAGGAGGAATGGTAAGGATAGGAACATTTTTGAAAGTCATCCGAGTTATAATCATCAACTTACCAAAAAAAAAAAACTTTGTTATTAGGTTTTAGAAACCAATATTTCACAAATTGTTAGTGCATTTAATGAAACAAATAAATATAAAAGACGTTCAGGAGCAATGGCTACGATCGCAGGAAGTGGTGCAGGAGCTGTTGCAAGAGATTTAGGAGCAAACTTTGCAAATACAGTTACAACTACTTTACAATCCACTCTACAAAATACAGTGAGTGCCACTTTCCCTAATTTCCGAAGGACAACAGGTTTTAATTCTTAGTTAGATAATAGTATGTTAACCTATAAGAGAGTTGAGATATTAAAAGAATGGGACATCAGTAGAATATAGATGCTTTCCGGTTTGGTATTAATTCAATGGGGTTTTGTTTTTCTTTCTTTTTTTCCTTCACAGAAAATGCACAAATTGCAAAATTGGTGAAACAGACGGGAGGAAAACCAGGTTTTTGTCTCGTTTTTTTTTTTTATTCAAACTTTGTTTATCGAACGATGATAATGTTTGAAAAGACTAGAATGAATATCTATTTAATATTTTGTAATGAAATTTGAACAAATTTTGTTTATTAAAGCTGTATGATTATATCATTATTTCTTCATCACGGTCAGCTTGCACATTTCAGTTTATCCAATTTCTTTTAAAAAGAAATATAATTTTTTAGATAATAATTAATTATGCTTTTTTCCAAACGAGTATTTTGAAAACTTATTTTTGTCCCAAGTGAAGTAATAAATAGATGAGAATGATCTATAGAAACCCTTCTTTTTTTCTCTTTTTTCTCTTTTTGTTTTTGTATTCTATCATTTTTTTTAAGTTTTGTGGTTTTTTTTTTCTTTTTGTATTATTTTTGCATATTTTTTGTTTCTTAATCATTCTTTTTTCTTGAAAATCTTAAAAAATCCGCTTTTTAATCATCAGTTTTTTTTTTTAAAAAAAAATAAATAATTCAAGAAATTGATTTTTAAAAAATAAAAATAAAAATTATCCAATAGACATTCAATTCTCTTGAATAAATGAATTTTTTTATTTATATTTCTATTACATTCTAAAAAAAAAAAAAAAAGACTTGCTTTCAATTTTTCAAGTCATTTTTTTACATTTTTGGGGAAAAAATAAAAGATTCACTCACCATGAATTTCTGGTAATAAAAAAAGTATATCATACGCGTTTGTTATTTCAGGAAACTATTTTTTCCAGATTAATAAAAAAATTACATCACAACAAAGTAAACGAATTAGGTAAATTAATTCTAATGGACTCCGATTACCTCTTTTTTTACAATCATTCCATGCACTGCTGATCTATAAACGCCAAGCCAAGAACTAAAAGTGATCAGGACTATTTTTAACAAGTTCTTTGTCAGGTATTTTCTTTCAACATTCTCCACTTTAAAAAAAAAAAATCCATCATAAATCTCGGCAACTTGCATAGAGTTTGTCCATTTTTTTTTCCTTTAATGCTTGTTTGCATTGCATTTCAAATGGTCAAATGATAATAATATAAAAATCATGACCATTGTTCTTGATATCAGGAAACTGTTCAAAGATGCCCATTCATGGAAATTCATTATTTCATTCGTCATGCAAGTTGCTAAACTTAAACCTTTTCAATTTCAACAACCTGATTTTTCACCTGTATTCGCATGTAATTCGAAACATGTTATCAAATATAGAAATCGCGGCGAACTCTTTGAATTCATCAAACATTTGGCTGTGAAACGAAAAAAGAAAAGCACTTTTCTCAAATTTCTATCTGCATTGAAATATTTTTTTTCCTATACAAGATCCCTTTTTTAATCGATCAAGCTGAACTCCAAAAAAGATTCATTCATCATTATTTGTTGACAAATAAATAATAAATGATGATCAAAATCCAAATAAAAAAAATCCATCTTTTTTTCGTGATACTACATTTGTTTTAATGATGGTATATCAAAATTTTCTCAAAGAATAAAGGAATGTTTTAGCCCATAAACCCGCCCATTTCATTACAGGTTTCCTAAGTGGGTTGGGGTTAAAGATTAGTTCCTTTTTTCAAAATAGGAAATCAGATATGATTATGATTTTGTTTTCAAGGATTAACCCAAAATTTTAGAATGATAAAAAAAAGCCACATAATTTTTTTTGGAAAGTCATATGAAATTCTTTTTTTTTTTTTTTTTGTACCAAAACCAATTACAGTCACTTTTTCAAAACCTGAAAACCGGAAATGAAACTTGTTGAAAAACAAGTATCTTGCATGCTAAGGTTCAGGAAGCTTGGACTCAATAATTGAGAGAGATATTTTTTATGTAAATATCTCAAAAACTTTTCCTTCACAGAACAATAGCTGAAACGATGTTCAAGGTACAAGAATATAAACAAACAACGAACAAAGGGGTTAACTAAGAACATAACCTTTTTTTTTTCGTCGGGAAAAGAAAAAGAGTTTATTATTTATAAGATTTCAGAGAGGAAACATCTATGATTCTGAGATGTTTCTCAAAGAAAGAAACATATGAAACATTGATGAAAAAAAACCTAGACATTTTTGTTTCTATTGTTGATAATGGAAAAAACCCATTTCAAACACAATTGTAAGACGATTGTATTCACTTGAAAATTATCACATGATTAAGTGTTTCAAAAGTGGGAAGATGATGACTATTTATTTGTTGTTTTGGTGATACTGCGTCTTATCTAAAGTATATCAATTGGTTCAACTTTGTGTTTTTGGATAGAGAAATGTTATTTTAGGCCAATTTAAACTTTTTTATATTCATTGTTATTTTATTTATTTACAAGGCGGATGTACATCTTTTACATTAAATGGTTTGATACTGTACTCCTTGATTTCGAAACGACATTGGCACGTTTCTAGATTCCGTTCCTGCATATCGCTTTTTTTCAACTTTTTTTTTGATATATAATTGGCAAATTTTTAGAAATTCTCAGAAGTAAGATCATACACGTTTTTTTTTTCACATTCTTCTCTTCAAAATTTTAATAAATTTAAAGAATTTTTTTTCCAAGGAAAAAAATATTTCCATCATATTATCACATTATTTTCTTGCAAAAAAAGGAATTTTTTCTTTCTACGTAAAAAAATAATCAAAATGACGTATCATTACTCAAGACCCAACTCGGTATACACTCAACAATCAACACAATCGTTCTCGGCTTCACGACCTCATTCGGCATACACTCAGTCATCTCTTCAAACACAATCGCCGACGGCTTTACGACCTCATTCGGTGGTTGGATGTGAAGGAATTTCTTCACAACCACAATCATTTCGAGTAATTCGACGTCGACAACAGCGAAAAAATTCTCGAAACAACGTGTTAAACCCAACGTTAGATAATTTCTATAACATATTACGCCGCACTGAAGCTGATCTAAACGTCAAATCTTCCACAAAGAACTGGTTAAATGAATATGAATCTTATAGACGACAAGTTATCAACGCTGAGAAATCTAGCGTTGAGAATATTCGTCCAGTTTCATGCTTCAATGTATCACCACCTCCAAAGAAAATGGAAAATTCACGTTACTCGATGCAATTCTAGATGGAATGGTATGGTTTATTGGGTAGACCTTTTTGAACATTTGTCTTAATTTCAAAAAAAAAAAAAAAAAAAAAAAAAAATGACAAAAAAAATGACAAAAAACGAAAAAAAAAAACGAAAAATTTCCCCCAAAACAGGATTTTCTCTACTGCGAGGTTCCTTTGTACATCACATCTTTCTTTTTTTTCTCTCTTTTTTTTTCCTTCTCTTTTTCTCTTTTGTTTGTGGGCTAGTACCGCATGTGAATGGAAGGTGGAGCCGGGGAAAAAAACCTTGTAAATTGTTTTCTTTATTCTTTTCTGCATATATTTCCTTTTATCATTATCATTTTATCCATTTAATCTTACCCCTTCCTATATTATCGCCTATCGAAAATCAAAAAACTCTTAATTTTAAAAGCATGTAAAGATACAATTATCACATTAGTCTCATTTATATTCTAAAAGCTTATTTTACAACTCTTTTTTTTTGTATTCCTTTTTAAAAATCTCTTCTTTTACATTATGTCGTTAAGAGAAACTTTGCTCATTTGTCATTTCGTATTTAAGAAAAGGAATCATAAAAAATATTTTTCAATGTATCTATAATTCTATTATAAATACAGGACCTAATAATAATAATACAAAATAATTTTTTTTTTTTAAAAAAAAAGGTTTGCTGGTCAAATTGTTTACATAAGATCTTTCGATAAACGAAAAAAATTTTGTAAATATGATTTAAAGATAAAAATAAAAATAAATAAAAAATTTTATACATCCCTTACTTGTGTAATGAAAACTTTATTTATTGTCCTACTAAAGAGATCCTTAATGTTTTCCCCTGCAGCATTCAAGAAATTCTTTGATATGTCGTTGTACAAAATGAGAGACAATTTTTGCGCAGAATTCTTTTCCAGTTGTACATTGTTTTAAGCATGCTGATTGTTTTACAAATATTTGCTATTAATAATTATCCTTTGAATTAACAAACATTGCCAAATAGTGCTTTTGCATTGCAAGGATGAATTTTGAAACAATCTAACGATCATTTTATGGTGTTTCGGGTTCGGTTGGAACGTTGTCCTTGTTTCAGACTTAGTTCTTTGTAAGAACAATGAAATCTCTGTATCCAGCATAGACAACTTTTACCGATATTATCCGCATCAGGTAATTTAATGCAAGAACCCTTAAGCCAAGACGAACCCTATAATGCCATTCTTTTAACTATTTATGTTCGGATTGTATCCAACTAACCCAAATCCACTTTTCAATACGGATAAAAAGAGAGATTCAATGTGATTTTGAAAGATAAATGGATTTGAATGACGTCATATGCTTTAATTTAGACTTAATTGGATACATTAAAAAGAATTCAAATGTTTATTTATTCTGTCCTAAATAATTTACTTTAACCCAAGTCAACTTAAAATAGTTTCATGAAATCAAGTGGAAATCATTTGTTAACCTTTTGGCAAATAAATTTGTTCAAAAAAGTGCCAAAATGGGATAAATACTATCAAAAAATATCAGATAAAAAAAAGCCGTTTAAATACAAACTAGTTAATAAAATTTTCTCCTTCTCTGTTTTGTAATATTTATTATAATATCATATATATATATGTAAAAAAAAAAATAAAATATAGTTTGAGAATGAAAATTCGTCCGTTTCATCCAATAAGATTGATTGGTCGTTTGTAACTTTTTTGGCATTTTACAAAACAATAATTAAAAATCATTTTTGCGAGAAAATTTTGTGCGACATCAAGAACATAATCTGAATATCATTATATCAGTGACAACTATACATGTGTGTTTATTTGATATAAATAGTATAAACCCCAATCCCTTTGTTTATTTTTTTTTTCCTTTGGAACCACCTTTTGGTTTTTTCTCGTTTTTTTTTTTTTTTTTTTTTTTTTTTTTGTTGCACAAACAATATTAGTCCTTTGAACTTTTCAACATAACCTTTTCCAGTCGGTCTAAAAAAAAATTTCTTGTCCTGGCTTAGCTCTCACAATTACTCACGTGATTTGTTTTCATTTCCCCCTTATAAAAAAAAGCATCACTCAAAACTCTACGCTAATATGAACAGCATGCAAATACAAAGAAAGAAATCATTTAAAGCCAATCGAGTATTTGATGTCGATCTATTATTTCAAAATCGTCAAAAGCAAAATATTGAAATTCGACGTCAATTACGTGACGTTATAATATCCAAACATCGAAATTTATCACCACTTAATGAAAAATCCATTCCGCAGATTGAGATTAATGAACCGAAATTGATTATCAGAAATTTAAAGATCGAAAACTTTTCTGATATGGTACAAGGAGTTTATTCAAATAATCTTGAAAGGCAATTGATTTCCATGAGGAAATTTAGGAAGCTATTGGCTGAAGAACGTGTTCCACCAATACAACAAATCATTGATGCTGGCGTTATACCTAAATTTGTCGAATTCTTACAATCAAATCATAAACGTCTAAAGATTGAATCATCTTGGGCTTTAAAAAATATCTTGGCCGGTAGTATCGATCATATCAAAGTCGTTGTTAATGCTGGCGCTTTGCCAATTTTCGTTCAATTGTTGCAAAATGATAATTCCACCGATGAAATCAGAGAACATGCTATTTGGGCTATAGGAAATATTTCCAGTGATGAGACTTTTTGTGACTTGGTCTTTCGTTCGGGAGCTTTGAAGTGTTTATTATACGTATTGAATCAACTTGAAGATGATAATTCTTTGATACTTACTTTGGCAAGAACTATATGTAACCTTTGTCGAGTAAAAATATCTGAAACAGAATGGTGGTCTTGGATGACTCCCGTCCTTGTTGCCTTGTCTCGAATGATACATTTGAACGATGATGATATCCTTTATTCAACTTGTTTGGCATTATCCTACCTTTCTGATGGGGAGTTCGATCGTATTCAACGAATACAAACAATTATTAATACCGGAATGTGTCCTAGACTCGTTGAACTCATGGTCCATAAAAATATTAACGTGCAAATACCCGTCTTAAAATGCCTTAAAAACATCTCGGCCGGATCCGACAGCCAGGTTAAAATTATTTTAAATTGTGGGGTTTTAAACTTATTAAAAAACTTATTCGTTAGCAAGATACATAACATGATCCGTAAAGAGGCTTGTTCAATCGTGTCAACAATTGCTTCGGGAGCAGCTCACCGAATTCAAGCCATTTTGGATGCTGGAATGATTCCTTTCCTAATCGATTTGACTAGAAATTCGGATTTTTTAACGAAAAAGGAAGCAACGTGGGCGATATGTAGCGCTATAAGGATCAGTTATCATCAATCATATTTAATTCGACAGATCATAAATTCTGGATGTATTCAATCTATGATTGACATGTTGGATTGCAAGGAGATTGAGATTATTTTTGCGGTATTGGAAGCAATTCAAACAATTTTAAGGTTTGGGGAATCCGCAAAAACTCCAAATAATCAAGAGAATGAATACTCTTTATTCATTGACGAGATTGGGGGAAAAGAAAAGATTTATGAATTACAATATCATAAGAAATATGAAATTTATAATATAGCTTTTAATATAATTGATAAATATTTTGGTGAATACGAAGAGAATACCTTGGAGATTGGATTTAATTTCAGTGAAGAACCTGGTGGATCAAATGATTTTATGGTACATCATAATTCTTCTACAGGGTTCCAATTCTTGCATCAACCTATCATTCCCTTTGGTGCATTTCATTTCAATGCCGTTGGTGAATTCGGTTCGCCTGGTCTAATACTACAAAGTGATCAAAATGGATTTCGTTTGCCTGTAGAAACTAGTCAAAATCCTGATGCCTATTACTTCCCCTTTTGTTAATCAACCTTCAAATCATTTTGTAAAATTTAAGAGTTAATTCTTTTAATTTCTTCGTAATAAATATCATTTGATTGGTGATTGACTTATGGTTGGAATTGAATAGATCTAATTAAAAAGGGATTAAATCTGGGAAATAGAGAAATACCTAAAAAAAAATTCGAGGTATTATATTATATGTAAATGTAAATATTTAAAAATGTTAAGGATTTAAGTTTTTTTTTTTTTAAACCTTTTTTTTTTTTAAAAAAAAAAAAGGAAAACCCAAATAATTTTTTTCTTTTTTTTTTTTTACAATTTTTTTAACATCCATTGTTTCTAACAAATGGTTTAATTTGTGATAAAAAAGCAAACCTTTTAATGTACTGTATATTATTAAACTATAATTGTATCATAAAATAATATAAGATATTTTTTATTATTTTTCAGATCTTTAAATTAGAAACAACTTTTTAAATAAAGAATTGATAAAAAATAAAAAAATTTTTTTTTCAGTATCCCAAATTTGCCTGCGAAGTTAAAAAAAAGTGTTAATTTCTTAATAAAATATTAAATATTAATTTTATTAATATCATTA